AAAAAAAAAAAAAAAAAAAAAAAAAAAAAAAAAAAAAAAAAAAAAAAAAAAAAAAAAAAAAAAAAAAAAAAAAAAAAAAAAAAAAAAAAAAAAAAAAAAAAAAAAAAAAAAAAAAAAAAAAAAAAAAAAAAAAAAAAAAAAAAAAAAAAAAAAAAAAAAAAAAAAAAAAAAAAAAAAAAAAAAAAAAAAAAAAAAAAAAAAAAAAAAAAAAAAAAAAAAAAAAAAAAAAAAAAAAAAAAAAAAAAAAAAAAAAAAAAAAAAAAAAAAAAAAAAAAAAAAAAAAAAAAAAAAAAAAAAAAAAAAAAAAAAAAAAAAAAAAAAAAAAAAAAAAAAAAAAAAAAAAAAAAAAAAAAAAAAAAAAAAAAAAAAAAAAAAAAAAAAAAAAAAAAAAAAAAAAAAAAAAAAAAAAAAAAAAAAAAAAAAAAAAAAAAAAAAAAAAAAAAAAAAAAAAAAAAAAAAAAAAAAAAAAAAAAAAAAAAAAAAAAAAAAAAAAAAAAAAAAAAAAAAAAAAAAAAAAAAAAAAAAAAAAAAAAAAAAAAAAAAAAAAAAAAAAAAAAAAAAAAAAAAAAAAAAAAAAAAAAAAAAAAAAAAAAAAAAAAAAAAAAAAAAAAAAAAAAAAAAAAAAAAAAAAAAAAAAAAAAAAAAAAAAAAAAAAAAAAAAAAAAAAAAAAAAAAAAAAAAAAAAAAAAAAAAAAAAAAAAAAAAAAAAAAAAAAAAAAAAAAAAAAAAAAAAAAAAAAAAAAAAAAAAAAAAAAAAAAAAAAAAAAAAAAAAAAAAAAAAAAAAAAAAAAAAAAAAAAAAAAAAAAAAAAAAAAAAAAAAAAAAAAAAAAAAAAAAAAAAAAAAAAAAAAAAAAAAAAAAAAAAAAAAAAAAAAAAAAAAAAAAAAAAAAAAAAAAAAAAAAAAAAAAAAAAAAAAAAAAAAAAAAAAAAAAAAAAAAAAAAAAAAAAAAAAAAAAAAAAAAAAAAAAAAAAAAAAAAAAAAAAAAAAAAAAAAAAAAAAAAAAAAAAAAAAAAAAAAAAAAAAAAAAAAAAAAAAAAAAAAAAAAAAAAAAAAAAAAAAAAAAAAAAAAAAAAAAAAAAAAAAAAAAAAAAAAAAAAAAAAAAAAAAAAAAAAAAAAAAAAAAAAAAAAAAAAAAAAAAAAAAAAAAAAAAAAAAAAAAAAAAAAAAAAAAAAAAAAAAAAAAAAAAAAAAAAAAAAAAAAAAAAAAAAAAAAAAAAAAAAAAAAAAAAAAAAAAAAAAAAAAAAAAAAAAAAAAAAAAAAAAAAAAAAAAAAAAAAAAAAAAAAAAAAAAAAAAAAAAAAAAAAAAAAAAAAAAAAAAAAAAAAAAAAAAAAAAAAAAAAAAAAAAAAAAAAAAAAAAAAAAAAAAAAAAAAAAAAAAAAAAAAAAAAAAAAAAAAAAAAAAAAAAAAAAAAAAAAAAAAAAAAAAAAAAAAAAAAAAAAAAAAAAAAAAAAAAAAAAAAAAAAAAAAAAAAAAAAAAAAAAAAAAAAAAAAAAAAAAAAAAAAAAAAAAAAAAAAAAAAAAAAAAAAAAAAAAAAAAAAAAAAAAAAAAAAAAAAAAAAAAAAAAAAAAAAAAAAAAAAAAAAAAAAAAAAAAAAAAAAAAAAAAAAAAAAAAAAAAAAAAAAAAAAAAAAAAAAAAAAAAAAAAAAAAAAAAAAAAAAAAAAAAAAAAAAAAAAAAAAAAAAAAAAAAAAAAAAAAAAAAAAAAAAAAAAAAAAAAAAAAAAAAAAAAAAAAAAAAAAAAAAAAAAAAAAAAAAAAAAAAAAAAAAAAAAAAAAAAAAAAAAAAAAAAAAAAAAAAAAAAAAAAAAAAAAAAAAAAAAAAAAAAAAAAAAAAAAAAAAAAAAAAAAAAAAAAAAAAAAAAAAAAAAAAAAAAAAAAAAAAAAAAAAAAAAAAAAAAAAAAAAAAAAAAAAAAAAAAAAAAAAAAAAAAAAAAAAAAAAAAAAAAAAAAAAAAAAAAAAAAAAAAAAAAAAAAAAAAAAAAAAAAAAAAAAAAAAAAAAAAAAAAAAAAAAAAAAAAAAAAAAAAAAAAAAAAAAAAAAAAAAAAAAAAAAAAAAAAAAAAAAAAAAAAAAAAAAAAAAAAAAAAAAAAAAAAAAAAAAAAAAAAAAAAAAAAAAAAAAAAAAAAAAAAAAAAAAAAAAAAAAAAAAAAAAAAAAAAAAAAAAAAAAAAAAAAAAAAAAAAAAAAAAAAAAAAAAAAAAAAAAAAAAAAAAAAAAAAAAAAAAAAAAAAAAAAAAAAAAAAAAAAAAAAAAAAAAAAAAAAAAAAAAAAAAAAAAAAAAAAAAAAAAAAAAAAAAAAAAAAAAAAAAAAAAAAAAAAAAAAAAAAAAAAAAAAAAAAAAAAAAAAAAAAAAAAAAAAAAAAAAAAAAAAAAAAAAAAAAAAAAAAAAAAAAAAAAAAAAAAAAAAAAAAAAAAAAAAAAAAAAAAAAAAAAAAAAAAAAAAAAAAAAAAAAAAAAAAAAAAAAAAAAAAAAAAAAAAAAAAAAAAAAAAAAAAAAAAAAAAAAAAAAAAAAAAAAAAAAAAAAAAAAAAAAAAAAAAAAAAAAAAAAAAAAAAAAAAAAAAAAAAAAAAAAAAAAAAAAAAAAAAAAAAAAAAAAAAAAAAAAAAAAAAAAAAAAAAAAAAAAAAAAAAAAAAAAAAAAAAAAAAAAAAAAAAAAAAAAAAAAAAAAAAAAAAAAAAAAAAAAAAAAAAAAAAAAAAAAAAAAAAAAAAAAAAAAAAAAAAAAAAAAAAAAAAAAAAAAAAAAAAAAAAAAAAAAAAAAAAAAAAAAAAAAAAAAAAAAAAAAAAAAAAAAAAAAAAAAAAAAAAAAAAAAAAAAAAAAAAAAAAAAAAAAAAAAAAAAAAAAAAAAAAAAAAAAAAAAAAAAAAAAAAAAAANTATTGTATCGTTAAAAATTAGAAAATTAAGCTTCGTTTAAATACTGGCTCCCTTTCATGGTCGAATGAGTGTTGCCAGCTAAAACACGTAAAAATAATATTAAAGTAGCCAAGACATAGCCAAATATTGTAGCGCCACATCACTAGCGGACATTTGAAATTTGCCGACTAAGACGGTCGGTTAACCGAGGGGTCGGTTGATCGGGGGGTGGATAATCGAGGTTCTACTGTATTTATTATAGCTTCAATAACAATTTGGTTTTAAAACAGTCAATAGAAAAACAATGAAAAAAAGTAAAACCAAGATCAGAATCTAACTACAACAAACTAAAAGAAAACTGCAAAATTTAATTAACAGGATTGTTTTCAGCTTATTATTCACTGGTTTAAGTTCTTGGGGCAAGATTGCACCTGTCAGTTCAAGATAATTGATTTTTTTCCAAATTTTCCTATTTTAAAATTCTACTATCAATATACATTTTGTTACTATATTTTAAAAGTTCTTTCTTGTTTGTTATTTGTTCTAGTAATTCAGTAGGAAAATATCTTTATTATGTCATTCATCAAATTGTTACGTTTTTGCATTTTATTGTACACAATTTTTTTCTTGAAAATAAATTTAAATCAATTTTTCATAATTAACTAATAAAAATGGAATTCTTTTGACTTTTAAGATGTAGTTTGTCTCTAAATACTCAAAAGTTTTTCCAAGTTAAATTTGTTATATCATTTTTTGATTCTCACCATCAGTTTTAGTACTTTTTACAGAGAAATTTTAGATAAAAATATTCAGGTATCCAGAAGTATCTTTCTTATAAAAGGAATTGTAATGTGACATTTTAAAAAGGTTAATGTCAAAGTCACACATTGCAAATTTGCTGGAGTCAGACCTTTTGTTTACAAACTCCACCACACTCATAACTATAAGAAAGCTTTAATACAATAAGCACAATTTTATAAGTGTGTTCAGTTTATATGTTAATTCCAACAACAATATCCAATACAATTACACCTTTGAATGAGATGGTTGGGACCTTACCAGAGCTGTAGACTATACTCATAGGAGCAAAAAAGTCAAAGAAACCATACTTCTACATATGACCAAGATACAGCCCTCCAAAATCAGCCACATGAGATCAGGAGTCAAACCATGCACTCTGCTAAGATTATTGCATTTAACTATGACTATGCCAGCTTTCAGTAGCCCGCTTGAAAGTTCATGAAGTACTTGATGTTATACAGTTTTAGGAGAGGTGGAGGCTTGCTCCCACACATATACCAAGGTGTGAGCTATAGTGAGCACCAAAGCACACGACTACATGCAGTATGTCAGTTAAGGCAAGCGATAGCAAGCCTTGATCAACGCGGAGCACAAAAATAGGCGGTTGTATTGGTACACAATAAAAACCGATCTTTGGAGGCAAATATCTCACAAAGGGTCGCACATACAGGTACAGTTCCTTTGACTTTTTTGCTCATACAGGGGTCTACAATTCTGGAATGGAAAACTCCTCAATCAAGAGTACACGTCTTACCTAATATCCACAATTGCAACGAATTCTGCATTTTAAACATTCAAAGAAAAACAAAAAGAAATTATTTTGAAAATATAGCATGTGTGTTAATATAATTATTTGGTTGTTAAGAATGTAACATCAATATTAAATTTTAACATTGTGACCTTTCCTTGTAAGAGTATTTAAATTTCAAATTTAACAAAAGAGCTTTAATATTTGCTATAACTGATTAACAAAGCTTGTTGGATTAATAATTCTCTATTGAAAAGCTGAATAATTAAAATTAGGTATGTGTTTCAAGTATTATTCTTATAATCCTCTCACATATGTTTCTGAATTACTAGTTTTATATTATGGATGTAAACAGTAATTATTTCATAAATTTTTTCAGAAAAGCCAAAACCTACGCAGTAAAGACTAAATTTGTCCCACTTTTCAATTGTCACTTTTGAAATTATTTTAATCGTTATTAAACTGACAAATAATTATTTTATAACGTAACTTTTCAAAAAACAAGTAACGTATCAAAATATAAACGTGTATATATATATTAAAAGCTTTCTAAATATTCACAAATATTAACTTCAATGTTTCATTGTAACTCACCCGCCATTTTCCCGCTTCTTCTTTTGAGACGGATGCCGTTTAGTTCCGTTAACTGTCACTAGAAAAATATTCAAAATAATAAATATTAATATATTAAAATTGTTTTATAAAATAATGTATAATAAAATAAAATAGTTGAATTTAATTAATTAACGTAAAAGTTTTTTATAATTATTATTATTTAATTTCGGGCATGGATTGGCTGGACTATCAATGACAGTGGGCGATTAAACTTCCTCGTACTTATTATAAACGTCTCTAATTATTATACGGTGTTTATAAGTAACCATAAATATGGATATGCATTACATTTTTATAATTACCTCGAATAAATAATGTCTTTATTTTAAATGTTAACCGCTTGGCCAGTGCCGGCCCAAGGCAAGTTTTAGGATGGAGCGAGATCCTATTATGGCGCCCCCTTGGTTGCCCTAATTTATACCCTTTAATTTTCCTTACCACTGAGGCGCTCCCTAGGACTTAGCGCCTGGAGCGGCTGCTCTGTTCATCCTATGGTAGGGCCAGCTCTGCGCTTGGCCATCCGGCCATTGTACCATTTTAGCCATTATCACCAATGTGAGCGAGGAAAATTTCCTGAAAATACCCATATCTACCCGTTGCCGTCTTCTGTAGGAAATCATTTATGAATGACATATTTTAATCTATTCCTTAATTAAATCGTTTGACTTCCTCTTGTGTCCCACCAGTGGCCAAGTGAATGAAACCACTAAACACATAATTGGTCGCGGGTTTGCGTGTTTTTCTGGATTTTCTTCACGTGTTTAACACCTGAATAGAGAAAATTTTCCATAGAAAGTCCTCTCGGCAGCACCCCCATTGGAAGATCGCCTACCGAACCTTTCTCTTACAAGACTTAGTTTCCCAGTTTCGACTGTGCCGTTTCATGCTTTTCATTTATCGACGAAGTGTGCGACCCGCTATCTTTGATAAATTAATAAACACACCTAATTAAAGAATTATTGCTCTCTAATATATGAAAAATATTACATTACAATATATGTGAGTCCATAAAGGAATCACTTTTGATTAGATGCGTTTTTGATCACATACATTGTAACAGAGCGCGAATGACTGAACGTTGTAAGAAACGAATTTAACTTTAGTAAGTATCGAGATATTAAAACTTTAATGTTAATTAAAATTTCCGAAATTCCCGAAAATTGGATAATTACACACGCATTGACAAACTAATCAAAACACGTTGCCATCTAAACAAGAGGTTACAAAATTTTTTTAATAATTAGCAAATAAATGTTTTTTTCCTTTTAAAATATTATATCTATTAATAATAATTACAAAAATATATTAATTAATTATAAAATTAACAGTAATTAAAAAATATTAATTATTAACATTATGTAATATTGTATAATACTATATATCCATTAGCCGTGTTTGATGTGACGTCATTTCGCCGATCAAAATATGGCCGAAGTGAAAGACGAAGTTAGTTCACTGGAAGATAGAGTGAGTTTGATTGTTTGTTATAGTACACGAACTTTTGTTAATTTTGTATAAAGCACAGCGTCAAGCATTGTTTTATTAATTTTCAGTTATATGTTTTGTCTTAGTTGCATATTTTCTTTGTTATTTTGATTTGTTTTTAGGCCGATATGCCGGATTTTGGATTGACAAGTTTTATTAAAGTTGCAAAATGTTACGAGGTACGATTATGATTTTTTATTATTATTGTTAATTTTTTATTATGTTTATTTAAACTTTTTCTCTTTGTTTTTTTGTAATTTTTGTAAAATTTTTTTCTTTAATTAAAATGTTCATAAGTTGAGTTTTTTGCTTTTTATTTTGGAAAATTGTACATAAATTATCCACGTGCACTTGTATACTTATATGTATTTATTCCAGTAATATTACATGTTTTCAATTGTAAAATGAAATTTTAGTTGCGTTCAATCAGTTAAACTTAAGATTTGTTATTATTTATAATAAATCTAATGAGTTGTTTTTAATCAACAACTCAAAACTAGGTATACTTAATGAACAAAATGAACAAAACCAATTTCTGGCACTAAATTGTAAGATGTTAAACAGTTTTGACCGTTGTTTGCCTGAAGATGTCTGTTTAATGTGGTTGACAACGTTTGCTGTCTTGTACTGCATTTGCACACAATCCTCAACTCAATTTGATTTACCCACAATCTCGATTATAACTCACCAGTCGAACGCCGAGCTGTTTGCAGAGGCAGTCTGCTTGAGAAAAACCTGGCTATTACACGCATTGATAAAACTGACATAACTATGCAGTAAGTGACGAACACCAACAAACAACAGTGAGGTTTTGGTTAGAAATAAATACTTCTTCTTGTCATATATCTAAGAATGTTGTCTCTCCATTGATAGCCTGACACTTGTTCTGCAGCCATCTTGTTTCTTCTTGCTTGCGTGGGATTGTGAGAACTCTCTTATGACTGAATCTAGTTTCAAAAACTCTTTTGTGTCACTCATGATTGAACATCATTCGAGATTGAAATGGTCGAGAGAGGTCATACCACAGCACAGTCGCCAATCTTATCACAATCTTGATTGAAATGCTCAGTGCAAATGAGGCGTTACAATTTAGTGCTGGAAATTGGTTTCGTTCACCTTGTGATTTATTTTTATTCTCTGAATTTTAATTATTGATAAGAACCTGGATATTTTACATATTAAACAATTGTTTTCAGGAAAATTCAAATGGTTTAAGGTTTTTGCAAGCCACATCAAAATATTTGAAATTTATATTTTTCAAAATATTAGCAGAATTGATTTTCATTATTAAAAAACAGAATTTAGAATTGTATCATTGACCTGAAGCATATTTGGTAAAGAGAGTAAATAGCCTTGTTATTGCATTAGAATGGGATTAGGCCATTGAACGACAGTTTCGGTAACAATTTCTTTAAATGTTGCAATATTATATATATATCTGCTCTGTTCATCCTATGGTAGGGCCAGCTCTGCGCTTGGCCATCCGGCCATTGTACCATTTTAGCCATTATCACCAATGTGAGCGAGGAAAATTTCCTGAAAATACCCATATCTACCCGTTGCCGTCTTCTGTAGGAAATCATTTATGAATGACATATTTTAATCTATTCCTTAATTAAATCGTTTGACTTCCTCTTGTGTCCCACCAGTGGCCAAGTGAATGAAACCACTAAACACATAATTGGTCGCGGGTTTGCGTGTTTTTCTGGATTTTCTTCACGTGTTTAACACCTGAATAGAGAAAATTTTCCATAGAAAGTCCTCTCGGCAGCACCCCCATTGGAAGATCGCCTACCGAACCTTTCTCTTACAAGACTTAGTTTCCCAGTTTCGACTGTGCCGTTTCATGCTTTTCATTTATCGACGAAGTGTGCGACCCGCTATCTTTGATAAATTAATAAACACACCTAATTAAAGAATTATTGCTCTTTAATATATGAAAAATATTACATTACAATATATGTGAGTCCATAAAGGAATCACTTTTGATTAGATGCGTTTTTGATCACATACATTGTAACAGAGCGCGAATGACTGAACGTTGTAAGAAACGAATTTAACTTTAGTAAGTATCGAGGTATNATGTTTAACTCTTAACTCCTGTTTCACTCTTAACAATAAATAACTATGAGCTTCATTGGCCTTGTTGTTATAAGTACAGATTTATCACACACCTTTTCAATTTTTATTCATTAACACATGATGTCCCAGTAAATAATTAAATTATTTAATTAATAAATAAAATTCAAAATTAATAATTAATAATAAATAAAATTCATTTGTAATTAGTAATTAATATTTCCAAATTATAGACTGATTATTTACAGCAGTTGTGGGTGTCTATTTAACTTTCATTTTGGGTGCCATAATTTTTACTTGGCAAATTTTTTTTTACATCTCAGATGTTTTACTTTGGATATCAATTATTTTTGACTAATTTGACTAATTAACTTTTTCACTACCCTTTCATTGGTTTCAAATTATTTATGACTACAGTAGAACATCGATTATCCGACTCAATTGGGGACTGGGGTTGATCGGATAACTGCACATATTTGGCACATTAAAATTGCAAAAATTTTATCATGCAAAATTCATTTACTATCGTAAAATATTTCCATATTACACTACTAAACTTTTTTGTCTACATTGTTTATTTTAATTTAACTCAACACTCTCCAAAGATACAAACGTAATCTATGCTATCCTGTGTCACACTAAACTATAAACAAAAACACGCGCAGTGCAAGTCAAAANAAATTTCATAAAATTGTATCTGTTTTCATTTTAATAAAATTTTAAAATTATTTATCCTGTTTGTGGTTTTTTAACAGGTTGTAAAAAAGATTATCTCTACCTTGATAAATTGTATTTATAAATCATTTTCAAACTATGACCTACATATCATCTTATCTCCAAACAAATTACATGAATGAACTAGAATATATTTTTTAGTAAAAATGCATGTTCACATGTACAGCTATAATTTAACTATTTTATAATTATTATTATTCTATAAATTTAGAGAATATTTAATTTATAATAATTTGTAAATATTAACAATTAACAAATGTTCAACTTTTGTAATTAAAATGTGATTCATTTATATTTTACTTATGCAAACATGTAGTTATGTATTTGAATTTTTATGTAATTTTAAATTTAAAAAAATGATTAATGATATCAAGAAAAAAACATCAATTTAATTATCATTAATTGAATTGGCAATATATTATCTTATTCTAATAGTTAAAAACATTCATTTATTTCAGTAATTTTATTAAAAAATTTTATATTCAGAATATTTATAGAAAGATTGATAAAAGAATTTAAATTTAATAAAATTATCTAAAGTATAAGATGCATTGTAAACTTGTTTAGATAAGGAGTTTCTTCTAAACAGTTTTGTTTCTTCACTATATGTAACAATTTTTTATTGCTAATAATTGATTTGTGTGTTCTGATTTTGATGATTGCAGAATTGCTGAAAAATAAATAATTTATGGTTTTATCACTGATTAAATATTTAACATAAAATGGAAAAGATGTTGGCATGTATAAAATATATATGTAATTAGTGCAAGCATTATCATTATCTTTTTTTGTTGAAAGATGGCAAAAGTTTTTTCAGATTATCAGCACAAAACCTTTCTCACCAATTTCTAGCCGTATTAACAGGAGTACAAACGTTTTCAGCCTTTTTAATAGGCCTTCCTTGGGTACACTGTGGAGCGTCGGTTAGAAGAAGTTTAAATGCTGCCAATGTGTAACCAGGTATCATCTTACCAGTGACGTCGTCGATGATAGGTATAGACGATACCAAGGGCGAAGAATACATACTTTTGGTAAAGAAGGGAGGTGTGCAGATAGAATACTTGCTAAAGTTGGGGAAAAAATTTGTAAAATAAGTGCGCTATGTACAGGAGATGCACAATCACTACAGGGGGTTAGTGGGGAGTGACATCATAGTTGAGGCCGTAAATATTCAACGATACAGTAAGAAGAGGCGTGCGAACATTGGCAGCATTTAAACTTCTTCTAACCGACGCTCCACAGTGTACCCGAGGAAGGCCTATTAAGAAGGCCGAAAACTTTTGTACTCCTGTTAATACGGCTAGAAATTGGTGAGAAAGGTTTTGTGCTGATAATCTTAGAAATAGTTCTAGCTACATATGCCTAAAAGTTTTTTCAATGATTAAGTGATAATGGCATGTATGATTTACTTTCAGTTCAATAATTTGAAATAAAATACTTTTTAGTTTATTTGTTGATAGGCTATACCAGTGTTTTTCAACCTTTCTCATTCAGTGGCAGACCTAATTGAAAAATAACAAATCGTGATACCCTTGACCAGCAGCAGATCTAGAATCTGAATAAGGGGGAGACTAATGGGCCAGATGAATTTTTTGCGAAAACGAATATTACGTGCAACGCAAAAGTGTTTCTACGTGTTCAAAATTTAAGTTCATTGAATTTTGTCGAAATACCTACATGTAAAATAATAGTCTCGCTATTGTTTTTTAAATATAGTTTTATGAAATATATCATTATTTTATATTATCATTTTATTGATAAACAATTTTTGTTATGTTTTTTATACTATTCTGATGCATATATAAAATGAATATTTCATTATTTTTTTCTTATCTTTTTCATATCAACTTAAAAAATTTAAATTAAAAAAAATGATTAAAAATTGTTTATTTGTCATTATTGCTTTTGAATACTATGAAAATACTTTAGCATGCACCTACTTTGTGATTGAAACCACACACTTTTCAAAGTACAATGCAACGCTTTTTAAAGCATATACAAGACACAAGTGTCCATGTCGTTCTTCTTTGGTGGTTGGCCTGGGACTGGGAACATGAAGGCCAAGCAATGTGGTTTGGGCAAACTTGTGACAAGTCGTGCGTACATGTAGCGTAGAACATTACATTAACATGCGATTAGTCATAGTTTCTTTGCATACTAGATATCTCGTAGCAAAATAGAACTGACAATGAGTTATCTTGAACTACACTTAAGTAAATTTCCAAGAAAATGACTAAAGGCTCTAAACTTTGCGACACCCCAATCGTGGCGCCGTGGCACCCTGGTTGAAAAACACTGGGCTATACAGTTGATACGTTTTGAGAAATTTAGAAAAATTAAATTTGCTGCAAAATTTAATTAATAA